TGGAGATAAGTGATATCTCATTGTGGTTTTCATTTGCATTTGCCTGATGATTAGACATGTTGAGCATTTTTTCATATGTTTCTTAGCCATTATTCTGCCTTCTTTTGGAAACTTTCTGTTGATGTCCTTTGCCCACTTTTTGATAGGGTTGTTTGATTTTTCCTTGCTGATTTTCCTGAGTTCTAAATAAATTCTTTTTATCAGCCCTTTATTGGATGTGTAGCTTGCGAAAATTTTCTCCCATTCTGTGGGTTGTCTGTTTTCACTCTCAACAGTTTCTTTGGCTGTGCAGAAGCTTTTAAATTTGATCAGGTCCCATTTGTTTATTTTTGTTGCTGTTGTGATTGCCTTTGGGGTCATCTTAATAAATTCTTTGCCTAGGCCAATGTGTAGAAAGTATTTCCAATGTTTTCCTCTAGAATTCTAATACTTTCACACCTAAGGTTTAAGTCTTTTACCCAGCCTGAGTTGATTTTTCTGAGAGGTGAAAGGTGTGGGTCATGTTTCAGTCTTCTACATGTGGCTATCCACTTTTCCCAGCACCATTTATAGAATAAGGATTCTTTCCCCCAGTGTATGTTTTTGTCTGCTTTGTCAAAGATTAGATGGCTATATGAGGATGGGTTTATATTTGGATTCTCTGTTCTGTTCCACTGGTCAATGTCCCTGTTTGCCAGTGCAAAGCTGTTTTAATGACTATAGCCTTGTAGTATAGTCTGAAGTCTGGTAAATTCATACCTCCCATTTTGTTTTTATTGCCTACGATTGCTTTTGCTATATGGGGTCATCTCTGGTTCCATACGAAGAGTAAAATGATTTTTTCTATATCTGTGAAAAATGATGATGGTATTTTGATAGGGATTGCATTGACTCTGTAGGTCACTTTGGGTAGCATAGACATTTTAACAATATTGATTCTGCCAACCCATGAGTATGGTATGGTCTTCCAGCTGTTTACATTCTCTGCTATTTCCTTTAGTGTTTCATAGTTCTCCCTATAGAGGTCTTTTACCTCCTTAAATATATTCCAAGGTACTTTATTCTCTTTGTTGCCATTTTGAAGGGAATTGAGTCTTTGGTTTGGTTCTCACTTTTACTGTCGTTGGTATATATCAATGCCTCTGATTTCTGTGTATTGATTTTGTATCCTGAGACTTTACCAAATTCATTTATCAGATCAAGGAGTCTCTTGTATGAATCCTTGGGGTTTTCTAGGTATATCATGTCATCAGCAAAGAGTGAGAGTTTGATCTCTTCTGCTCCCATTTGGATGCCCTTAATTCCGCTCTCTTGTCTGATTGCTGTAGCGAGGACTTCCAGTACTATGTTGAACAGAAGTGAAGATAGTGGGCAACCTTGTTTTGTTCAGTTCTAAGTGGGAATGCTTTCAATTTTTCCCCATTCAGTATGATATTGGCTTTGGGTTTGTCATAAATGGCTTGTATCATTTTTAGGTAAGCCCTGTCTATGCCTATTTTGTTAAGCATACTCACCATAAAAGGGGGTTGAATTTTGTCAAATGCTTTTTATGCATCTATTGAGAGGTTCATATGGTCTTTGTTTTTGCTTCTGTTTATATGGTGAATTACATTTACAGATTTGCATATGTTGAACCATCCCTGCATCCCTGGGATGAAGCCCACTTGGTTGTGATAGATAATTTTCTTGATAAGCACCTGGATTTGATTAGCTAGATTTTGTTCAGAATTTTTGCATCCATATTCATAAGGGATATTGGTCTGTAGTTTTCTTTTTTTGTTGCATCCTGGTTTTGGTATCAGGGTTATGTTCGCTTCATAAAATATGTTGGGGAGGATTCCATCCTTCTCGATGTTGTGGAATAATTTCTGCAGGATAGGCACCAGTTCTTCTTTGTAGGTGTGGTAAAATTCAGGTGTGAAACCATCTGGTCCAGGACTTTTCTTTTTAGGAAGGTTTTTTATTGCTGTTTCAATTTCAGGACTTGATATTGGTCTGTTCAGGAATTCTATTTCTTCCTGGTTGAGCCTAGGGAGGTTGTGTGTTTCTAGAAATTTGTCCATTTCCTCTACATTTTCCAGTTTGTGTGCATAGAGGTTTTTGTATTATTCATAAATTATATCTTGTATCTCCGTGGCATCAGTTGTAATTTCTCCTTTATTGTTCCTGATGGAGATTAGAGATTTTTCTTTTCTGCTTTTCATTAGTCTAGCCAAGGGTGTGTCAATTTTGTTTATTTTTTCAAAGAACCGACTTTGAAAATTGTTTTATTAATCTTCCATATAGTTTCCCTGTTGTCAATTTCATTTAGTTCTGATTTGATCTTAATGATTCCACTTCTTCTGCTGGGTTTGGGGTCGGTCTGTTTTTCTTTTTCCAGTTCTTTGAGATGATTCATTAGGTTGTCTATTTGTGATCTTTTCGACTTTTGGATATAGGCATTTAAGGAAATAAACTTCCTCTAAGACTGCTTTAGCTGTCTCCTACAAGTTTTGGTAACTTGTGTCTCCTTTGTCATTTAGTTCAAAGAATCTCTTGATTTCCATCTTGATTTCCTCATTTATGAAGTGTTCATTCAGCAGAAGGTTGTTTAGTTTCCACAACATTGTGTAGAAATGAGAGTTCCTGTTAGAGTTGATTTCTACTTTTATTCCACAGTGATCTGAAAAGATACATGATATAATTTCTACATTTAAAAATTTTTTGAGACATGCTTTGTGTCCTAGGATATGGTCAATCTTAGTAAATGTCCCATGAGCTGATAAGAAGAATGTATATTCAGTGGTTTTGGGGTAGAATGTCCTGTAAATGTCAGGCAGGCCCATTTGTTCTAGAGTTTTGTTTAAGTCCATTATTTCTTTGTTAATTTTCTGTTTGCAGGATCTGTCCTGTGCTGTCAGCTGGGTGTTACAGTCTCCAGCTATTATGGGGTTGTTGTTTATCCACTTTTTAGATCAAGTAGAGTTTGCTTTATGAATCTGGGTGCACCTAAGTTGGGTGCATACATATTTAGAATTGTTACGTCTTCTTGTTGAACTGTACCCTTCACCATTATATACTGACCTTCTTTGTCTTTTATTACTTTTGTTGATTTAAAAACTAAGTTATCTGAAATCAAAACTGCCACACCAGCCTTCTTTTGGCTTCCGTTTGCTTAAAATATTGTTCTCTACCCCTTTACCTTTAGTCTAAATGCATCCTTGCAGGTTAGATGTGTTTCCTGAAGGCAGCAGATACTTGGCTTGTATTTTTTTTTTTTTTTATCCATTTGGCCAGCCTATGTCTCTTGAATGGGGAGTTCAAACCATTCACATTTATTGAGAGAACTGATAGGTGGGGCAGATTTCTGTTCATTATGTTGGGTTGAACTTTGTTGCTTTGTTTTCTCTCTTGAGCCATTGTGGTATATGACCTTTTATGTTTAGCTTTTGAGTGGATTTACATTTGTGAGTGTTTATTGTGCTGATCCATGCATAACAATGTTTTGAGTACTTCTTGAAGGGCTGGTCTTGTCTTGGTGAATTCCCTCAGTCTTTGCTTATCTCAGAATGTCTTGATTTCTCCTACGTATACAAAAGTTAGTTTTACAGGGTACAAGATTCTAGGCTGGGCATTATTCTGTTTCAGAAGAGTGAGAATGGGACCCCACTCTCTTCTTGCTTGTAAGGTTTCAGTAGAGAAGTCCGGCATTATTCGGATTGGCTTTCCTTCGTATGTTACTTGCTTCTTGCGTCTTACAGCTCATAGAAGGGCCTCTTTAGTTGATACTTTGGTCAGTCTGATGACTGCATGTTGTGGTGTCTTCCTGTTTGCATTGAATCTCCCAGGGGTCATTTGAGCTTCTTGAACTTGTATATCTAGATTTTTAGCAAGGCCTGGGAAATTTTCCTCTATTATATCTTCAAATAGCTTATCCAACCCTTGCGTGTTTTCTTCTTCCCCTTCTGGAATCCCAACCCTCACATTAGGTTTCTTCACATAATCTCACGTCTTGTAGGCTTTGTTCTTTTCTCTTATTTCTCTGCTCTATCTCTGTGACTGACTTATTTAATTGGAAGGTGTTATTTTCAATCTGTGAGATTCTTTCTTCTGTTTGATTTATCCTGTTCTTGAGGCTATCCACTGTGTTTTGTAATTCCCTGAATAGATTCTTCACTTCTAGGAGTTCGGTTTGATTTTTCTTTATTATTTCAATTTCCTTAGTCAATTTTCCTTCCAGATCCTGGATTTTTTTTGTGGTTCCTTTGTGTTGGTTATCCATTTTTTTCTTGCAAGTCATTGAGTTTTCTTATAATCCATGTTTGAAATTCTCCTGTCATTTTAGTGTTCTGATTTTGGTTGATACCCATTTCTAAAGAGCTGGTGTTAGCAAACTGGTATTGACTGATCAACACCTAAGTGGACATATAGTAATAACATCTACCAGGTAGGACAGGTGGTGGGGGAGGGGATGGGTATATACATTCATAATGAGTGTGATGTGCACCAACTGGGGGATGGACACGCTTGAAGCTCTGACTCAAGGGGGAGGGGGCAAGGGCAATATACATAACCTTAATATTTGTACCCCCATAATATGCTGAAAAAATATAAATAAATAAAATAAATTTAAAAAATAAAGGCCTGGTATTCCTCTTTGGAGGTGTGCTTTCTATTTGAATTTTCATACTTCCAGAGTTCTTTCACTGATTTCTTCCCATCTGGATCAGTTGTTGCTTCTTACCTTTAGATTTTCATTTGGATAATGACACGCCCTGTTTAGTCTCTGAGCCAGTAGGTGGTATTTGTGGGTGAGATTTGACTACATCCTGCATGATAAGTCAGTAGATTCATGTTGCTTTTTTATACACAGCCCATGCCCTCTCCCAACCCCCAGCTGACAACTATGGAAAGGCGCAGAATGTGTCTTGTACTTCTCTGTCTCTAAGACTTGCACCTAAGGTCCCCAATAAATATCTATTGAAATGAAAAATGCAAATTGACGATCATATACCTCAAATTTTCTAAAACACTTTAAATTTCTTTTTATTTTATTCTTTGCAACAAAGGTGATTTAATATAAACACAAAGATTTAAAATGCTGTGTAAGGCTTTCCATATTAAAACTTTTCACAAATTGGGTTTTTAAAAGAAGTCCTTTGAGAGATGCTGATTCCTGCTTTGGTATTCCACGTATGCATTTGGTGGAGGTACAGTGAAAGGCACCTAGAGCTGGCATCAGGCCTCCATCATGTCCTTTCCCACATGGACCCTTGGTGTCCCCTATGAAACAAACACAGGGGTTGAACTAGCTGACCTCCAAGTTCCTTTATATGAGGCTGTTCTAGGAAGGGCTGTTGGATGAGCCCCCCACCCACCACGTTGGGGGAAGACAAGGGCTAAGAAGGCAGCTGTGTGGGGAGGTCTCTACCAGCTAAGGTCCCACTCACAGGGTGGGTCCCCAGGTCCTAGCAACAGGAAGAAGAGGGTAGGAGCACCCTTGCCCCCTTCCAGTGGAGATGACCCCATGTGTCTTTTATTTTTCTAATCCATTCATTTTAACATATTGACCATAAGAATATTCACTGAGCACTTACCAGGAGCACTAGGCTCAGTGCTCTTGATGTATTGATGTAATTCTTATCCAGTACAATGAAGGAGGGATCATTATCATCCAGCCTTCTAGATCCAGTTCACCCCACACATTTAATGAGTGCATACCACACGTCAAGGCACTGGCTTAGGGCTACAGTAGTGAACGAGATGGGCAGAGTCCCTGGCCTCACAGACAGTAAGCCATCAACATAAGTGAGCAGAAAGTGAAAGTGTGTTACTAAAGAAACAGAAGAAGAGGAGGGAGGGCATCAAGAGTGGTGGGGCAGAGTGGGGCTGACTGCTGTATGAAACAGGGTAGCCAGGGTGGGCCTTGCTAAGAAGGTAAGTTCTCAGCAAAGACTGGAAGGAGGAGGGAGAGAAAGTTAGCTGAGTGGGTTTCTGGGGAAAGAGGCTTCCAGGCAAAAGGATCAGCCATAGTAAGGCCCAGAGGGGTGTGTGTCTGGCACAGAGGACTGATGGAGTGGAGTGAGCAGGGGAGGGGATGGGCAGAGAACAACTGGGACAGATGATGCAGGGCCTAGTAAGCCACTTAAGCTTGGGCTTTTCTTAGCCACAAATGGGGAGCCAGGCAGGATTTGAGCAGAGTGACACCATCATCCTGATTTCTCTGTTAAGAGTGTACTATGCAGAGGGATGGAACGACAGACACGCAGAGGCCTGTTGGAGGCTACTAGAGTCAGCTAGCAGATATAGGACGGTGGCTAGGACCTGCTGGTAGCAGTGGAGGGGTGACAAGAGGTGGGATTTGGGATCTGCTTGAATGGTAGAGCCATCTTGATTCCTTGAGAAAACTGGCATTGACTTTAAAGGCGTAAGATAGAATCCCTTCCCTAAGCCTGTCCTTGGGCAGCCCTGTGAGTGGCCCTTGGGAAATGAGAGATTCCATGTCTGCTGCTTTCCCAGGTAGGCTAGTGATGCTGGGGCCACCCAGAGGTGGAAAGCACCCCACGCAACTCTCCTCCAGACTGCATGGGCCCGAATGAATCCCAGTTCCACTTAGCTTTACCATCAATGGCACAAGGATGGTAACTTCCTATTGCACTCCCCAGAAGCTGACTTCTCAGTCACCTGGCCCAGCATTCCAGACGAAACAGGCAGAACTGGAAGTGCAACTCGTGCCCAAGCACCCACATACTCAGCCAGGAGCTGGGGCCTGCATAGGGGTCTCAGCACTACTGAAATAATGTGAGCCTACCCACTGAGCTAACTGGTGTTGGCACATGAAGTCAAAAGGCAAGCCTTTCCTGGAAAGAGCATTGGGGTTGGACTCAGAGATCTGGGTAATGAAGTCCTATTCTACAGTTCTTAGCTACCTGATGATGAGCACATCAGGAAACTGGCCAGGCCTCTACTGCATCATCTTCCAAATGGGAACAAAAGTGTCTATCCAAGAGAGCTGAAAGGGAACACAAATGTGAAAACCACTTTATAAACTAAAAAATGCTACACTGAGGTCAGGTAAATGCACACAGCCTATATCCTGGGGTGAGAGCATCGGACACAGTAAGAATGCCATGCTAGCCAGAGGGGAAAGTGACTCATTCTAACCAAGGGGGACAGACAGAGCCCTCACAGACAAGAAGGGGTCTTGAAGAATGGGTGGGATTAGCTCAAACAGAGAAGAAAGGTATTCCAGGTAGAGGGAACGTCATGGGCAAAGGCAGAGTCTATAGGTGCAGAGAGGCCACCAGGAGCTATGGAAGGGTTTTGAGCAGGGGAGTGGTAGAATCTGATTTGTTTAGAGGTCACCCTGGCCACTGAGGAGAGACAGAGTGGAATTGCTAGGGCCCAGCCGAGCAACACTGAGGCTTGAGCCAGCCACACTCTCAGGAGAGAGGGGAGCCTGCCCAGGTCCCTTCAGTAAGGCTATGTGTGGGGAAAGGCAGGTGGAAGTGGGAATCGGGGGAGGGTGCAGCCAGGTCAGGCTTAGCCAGCTGCCTGCTCCTTCTCCCTCAGGTCTCCCTCCACCCCAGCAGCTCAGAGTCTCCCTTTCCTCTTAGGTCATTTCACAAGAGCACATGGGATGCTGAATTATAGCTAAGTATGAGGACAATTCAAGGTCTTCTGATATAAGGCACCATCATGACACCTCTGAGCACATGGGATCCCTGCTGTCCTTTTCCCTAAGCAGGAAAAAATTCTGTAGTCACAGCTGAGAATGTCTGGACAGATACTGTACAGTTCAGTGATTTTAAAACTTCTTTTTTAGCCCCAGAACCACCCCTTGTTTCCTTCCAAACAAAATATTTTGTAGAACCTAACCTATAAAATAGATAAAAATCAGAGCTATCCCTGATTGAAGTGGGAGAAGGGATCCCTGTGGCCATTCTCCCCACTGCCCCATCTTCTCCATGCCCTGTCAACTTCTGATGATCCCACGACCTCCTCAGAGCTCAATGTGAAAACCTGCCTGGCTTAGGGGAAGATCAGTGCCACAAGGCCTAATTCTGGTCAGAACTCGCCACTGTCAACTTAACTCTCTCAGGTCCTCAGTTTCCTCATCTCTCAAATGGGGAAAGGTTCCCTGCTCTACATGTGTTTTGCCTATGAGTCCATAGATATGACAGTGCTTCAAGCTGAAAATATAAGACAAAAGTTAAGGTGGTGCTGATTTTGTTTGTGCCTTGCTTCATTCTACAGATGTTTTTCAGTGGTTTATTGGTCCAATACTAAGTTGGACCATCATGCTTTAATTTTTTTTTTTTTTGGCAATTCTGTTCCAATATCAAAATGTGTAGTCATCTGTGTTCCTTATTTCCTCCTTTCTTACAAATAAAGCTCCCTTTCCCCTTCCCCCAGATCTCCATGTTCCCAGGACTCTAGAGTCCTACAGCCTGGACCTTCAGAGTCGCCATCACCCTCCTCTTTGTCCCCAGTCCTGCTCCAATCCACCCTTCTCTATCTAGTTGCTCCTATCTCCCTCTGTAGAAACTCAGCTTCAGCAAGGGTGCCCCCAAAGAAAGCAAAGAATATCCCATTATTAGGCCAGCCCTTGCTGCCAAACTCCACCCAATCTAATTCTATTTAGCATTCCACCCGGACTTCTCTAGAGTCAGCCCTCCATAGAGAGACTTTATCAGAATGACTTCATAATTGCTAACTTCTAGGGCCATCTTTTAAATGTCTTAAACTTTCCACAAGGTAGGAACCCAGAGATGGTTGGTTTAATTACTTTCCAGGAGAGAGGACTCTGAGAATAGAGCAAAGAGAGTGGGCTTTGGGGACAGAGGGGCCTGGGTTCTACAACCAGCCCCTTCCTGCACATGTGACATTTTCTCTCCTGTATCTCACTTTACTAATCTGCAAAATAGGCACCTAAAGAACTACCCCACTTATTAAGATTAGACAAGAGAGTATATGCCAGGGTTTCTCAACTTCAGCACTACTGGCATTTGGAGCTGGATAATTCTTTGTTTGTGGGGCTGTTCTATGCATTGTAGGATGTGTAGAGGCATCTCTGGTCTGTACCCACTAGATGCCAGTAGCACTCCTACCCTGAGTGTTATGACAACTAAAAATGCCTCTAGATATTGCCCAATGGCCCCTTGGAAGTAAAACTGCCCCAGTTGAGAACCACTGGTATATGTGAATATACTTGATAAAATCTTATTATTACTGCATGTATGTGAGAAACACACATTTATAAATTCAATCACCAAAAGGATACAAAGCTAAAAACACTTTTGGGAGTGAAACTCAAAGCTGTCAGGCAAATATCCTCCCTTCCCTGCCCCTACCTCCCCATCTCAGAACCACTATCAAACACTAGGTGTGCTTGCCAAGAGTCCTGCCTTAATCATCCGGGCTGACCCAAGCACTCCCCTCCACTGGCCTGAATAATCTTGCAGCATGGGCCTCCACACTTGTTGAATGCATTAATACTAGCAAGACATTTCTTAATCTCCTAAGCCTCAGCTTTGAATCCTTAAAAAGAAACAAATGGCACAAATCTCTTGATTATGACACTCAATCACTTTGATAATACTTACTTGGTTCTGGCATGAGGCTTGGAAAGCTGCTTCACGAGTCAACAGGTCAGCAAGTACACCTTGGGAACAGTAGGATGCAATTCAGCTTGGATTTGGAAGGGGTGCCAAAAGAATGGTTCCAGTTGTACGCTTCTGCTAAAGACAGGTGAACACATTCCATGACTATTGTGCATATGCCCCCCTCCCCCAAACTCCCAGGGGCACATGAGGCCGGCTTCCCAAGCTTTCTAGAGAGAGGCCTTTTCTGCTAGTTGGGCCACAGAACAAACCAAACCATCTCCTGTGTTCTCTAGCATGTCTTGGCTGGGCATCTTTGCTCCTATCTGAAATTCTCTCTTCCTCTGGACTCAGCTACACCCAGGGCCACCTTCTATAGGCAGGTTCCCTGATTGTCACCTCCACCCTTCTACCCATTGCTACTGCCCACATAGACTCTATTTAGCTCTTGGGTCATGGGCCCCATACAGCTTGGAATTGGAGGGAGTTTGACCTTTGTATGTTCCAAATGCAAGGGCTTCTCTTAGATTTTCATACCTCCACAGGAGTCCAGCGTAGAGTATGCTTTCTATAAATGCTCTCCAGGTAAGCAGTCAGGTGCCATTTTATTCTCATTTTACCGATGTGGAAAGTGAAACCCCAAGATCCTGCAGACCCTCAGGCCTCCTGATGCCAGGCTGTGCTGCCACATAGCACTGATGAGTGGTCTCTTCTCTCCTCACCGCAGTGGCATCCTTCATAGGAGTCTGAAATGGGCGTGAGGTGAGGGCAGGGGTCTTAGAGAAGCAAGCTCCTAGCTTTCCTCCTTGGGGGCAAAAACACCTTGTCAGGTGGCAAAACAAAGAAAGGACCCAAGGAAGACCTTGGTACAGGTTGTGGAGGGAGGAAAGGGTTTTGTTACAAGTATTTGCTCATCTTGGCCCACTGGGACTTCTGTTCATCCTTTGGACTGAGCTCAAGCTCTACCCTTTCTGGAAGTCCTTCAAGAACCACCCTTCTAACAACTCGTCTTCTCCTCTACTTCATACTTACATACACTTACTTCTTGTGGCTTGTATTCTCAGAAATGCTATGAACTCCACTGTGGTTGCAGATAGTTCTCTCTCTGCCTCTACTACTCCTCATCCTGCTAGGGTTTAGCTTTAAATTGCCCCTTCCCAGTCCTTCCTCCCCCAACCTCTTACCCCAGGTGTCCTTGGGCAGTAGGTGTGTCCGACGTTATCTGAGGACAAGATAAAGAATGGGAATTCAAGAGGGTGAAGGGACCACCCAATGTCCTCAGGAGGACCTTCCTGAAAGCTCAGAGGACAGGAGCTGGGTGTCCCCAACTGGGCTTAGCTACAAATATATAGAATACAGTTTGGACAACTTCCTGGTTTACTTCTCCCTAGGGCTGGGACAAGAGACCTTTCTAGCCTCTACAGGCACTCAGAAAATGTTTGAGGAATTGAATCACTCAGATGGTTCTACATTATCATCGTGGCCACCATAGCTAACAGTTATAGGTCACTTACCATATACTCGGGATGAAGACAGAAAGGTTACTGTCAGGAAAGGGAATTATAAATGCAATTGACCCTTGAACAACATGGTTTGAACTCTATGGGTTCACTTTTATGCAGATATTTCCCAATAAATATAATGTAATATTTTTGGAGGTTTACCACAACTGGAAAAATTTTGCAGATGAACCACATAGCATAGAGATAATCAACAAAATTTAAAAAAAGGTATGTCATGAATGTATGAAATATATATTATAGATATTAGTCTATTTTATCATTTACTATCACAAAATATACACAATCTATTATAAAAAGTATACATTTCTCACAATTGGGGCACACAGGCTACATGGTGCCATTTGTAGTGGAGAGAAATGCAAACAAATGTAAAGATACAATATTAAATCGTAACTGCATAAAATTAACTATAGCATATACTGTACTACTGTAATAATTTTGAAACCACCGCCTGTTGCTATCACAGTAAGCTTAAATGTTTCAAATATCCACTTAAAATGCCACATGACACTAATCATCTCCAACTGAGCCCTCTGTCTTTACAGAAAAAGTGATCTCTCGTGGTTCTCATGTATTCTTCATCATTGTTATTGCAATACCATAAACTTTGAATAACACCATGGGACCTATATGAAATTCCACTATGATGCTGTAAGTGCTCCCAAGAAGCAGAAAAAAATGTCATGACAGACATTCATCTTGTAAACAGAAGATGTAAACTTAATGTATCAACAAATACAGTACAGTAGTATACATGTATTCCTCTTCCTTATGATGTTCATAATAACATTTTTTCTCTCACTTTAGTATAAAAATATAGTCTATGATATGCAGAACATACAAAATATATGTTAATTGACTATGTTATTGGTAAGACTTCAAGTTGTTATATCTTTGGGGAGTTCAAAGTTATATGCAGAGTTTCAACTGCACAGGGGTTCAGTGTCCCTAGCCCCCACATTGTTCAAGGCTGAACCGTACTGAAATGGAAAAGTAGAATGAACTCTTTAGAACTCGAATTGGAAATGTCAGTAAGAACTCACAGTTTTCAATATATTTTGATACAGAAATATAGACTAATGTAAGCATGTATGTGTATTTATGCATACACATGTGCTCCCTGCTTTGCTCATAGAGGAAGCTTGTGAGCAAGGATGACCCCAATAGCCAAATGCACACCTGCCACAACACATGCCTAGATCATGGTTTCCAAATATCATTCTCCCTTAAAAGGAATCAGGGCTTCTAAAAACATAGCTGATATCAGAGATGGGGCAGAGAAAATACAAGATAAGCTTGGAACATTGTTTTTTGCTAGAAGGTAAGGAAGTGCTTAAAGTATAATGGGAAGAGACCAAAACGACATGAAGTCAGCTTGAAATGGCTACCACTGGCCAAATCTGGGGGCATTTGCCTACCAAAATTATAAGATTTCCCTTCTCCCTTCTTTGTTTTGGTTTTATTTATTAATGCCTAATATAAGGAATGAAAGAATAAGAAAATAATCATTTGGCAACAATCATAATAATAATTTACTCAAGCAGGAATCAGCAATGAATGTAGGGCATGAAATTCTGAGAAGCAGCCAGATATTTACAGAGTCTGAAAGTACCTTCCCACAAGAGCTTTCTGAAATACAAAGAGCAAATAGCAATTTTACCATGGACAAACCTGGCAGAACTTTCTTAACCAAGTAATCAGAATCAACACTGGCCAGTTATGACACCAAGTGACAACATCTTCTTCCCGATATGCTGCATTGAGAGGAACTTGGCATCACTTCTGTGACATTCCTGCCTGGATGGCATAACCTGAATCAAATCATGAAAAACCATCACAGGAACCCAAACTGAGAGAAAACCTACACAATAACTGAGCTGTGCTCTTCGAAAATATAAATGCCATGAAAATCAAAGACAGACCCAGGAACTGTCCCAGATTTAAAAACTCAAAAAACCTGACAAATGGACACAATACATCATGGACTATGACAATCCCCCATCTTGAATTTTCTTTGGCTATAAAGAATATTATTGAGACAATTGGAAAAATCTGAATAAGCTCTTATTAACTAAAAAAAATATATAATGAGGTTTACACTTGGAAAAAGGAGAGCTTTATGTCTCATGAATTATTTTCAACCTACAGTGGCCATTCTGACAGGCTGGGAAACATGGCTGTCGCCTCGAGCCAAGAACATGTTTCAAGGGAGGAGCAAAAGAAACAGGATTTGTACTGACAAGCAGGATGGCTAAATATACACATTTAACAAGCTATAAGAAGAGTCATGAATAGCAATGAGAAGACCTGTGCACGTGTAATTGTCCTTTACACCTGCCATCCCATGATGGCTGGGAACTCAGTTTTAAGGTTTTTCTGGAGTCCCCTTGGGGAGAAGGGATCGGTTCAGTTTGCAGGGGCCTTAGGATTTTATTTTTAGTTCACAGTCTGTAGATGATATATTAATATTGAACCAATTTTAATTTCTAGATTTTGATAATTATACTAAACCTATATAAGATAATTCCTTATTTCAGGAGATACACAGTGACGTATTCAGAAAAGAAGACAAATCAGGTCTGCAACTTATAAAGAGGTCAGAAAAAAGTATATATTACATACTTATATAGGTAGAAAGAAAGGAGCAGGTAGTGAAAGGATAAAGCATATATAGTCAAATGTTAACATTTGAGGGATGGTATCCAATCAAGAATTCTTTGTACTATTCCTATAATTTTTCTATACATCTGAATTTTACAAAACAGAATACTTATAAAACAAAAAATACATTTTAAATATTAACAAATTGTAAGCCATTGAATAAAGTCAACCATGAATCCATTTTGAAAAAAGTAAATGAATAAATTCAGGGTTTCATGAGGAACAGAGATATTTACATATTTCAAATTATCAACCCCACAAAAATCCTAATTAATTACAAGGTGAAAAAATAACTTTACAGATGAGAGATCGACAGATACCATTGTTACTGATCAATGCTAACATCACCAGTAATAGGACAAGTCAGATTGTAGGTCACCTGACAGGATGCAATGAGAACTTCACAGCATCAATTCTGTGATACTCTTGTCCAAAATCATATGATCTAAACCTAATCATAATGAAACCTCAGAAAACCCAATGGAGGCACACTCTACATTACTGGACTTTACTCTTCAAAAGATTATAGGTAGTGAAGGTCAAGAAAAGATTGAGAAACTGTTCCAAACTGAAAGAATCTAAGAGACACGACAACTAAATGTAATCCATGGATCTGAATGGGATCCATCTATTGTTACAAAGAGTATTACAGAAAAATTAATAAAACTTGGAAAGAACCAGACCATTTAAAAACTTCATGTATTCACATTAACTTTCTGATTACAAAGACTGTATTGCAGTTATGTAGAATGTCCTGACTTATAGGAATACCCACTAAAGTAATCAGGGGTGATAGCATAATGTCAGCAATTAATGCTCAAATAGTTCAAAAAGAAAAAGTTCTCTGTACTAAAATGTGCAACTTTTCTATAATTTTAAGAATATTTCCAGAAGTTAATAAAAAATAAACAAGTTAACAAATAAAGTAAGAAGCTAACAAACTTTATTTTTCCATGAGGAAAGAGCCATATAAATCAGTGCTTAAAATTAACATTCTGTCAGTTCAAGGGCACTGTAACAATTGTAATAAATGCAAACATCAACAGTGACCATAGCCCAGTAAGTCAATATGATGTCTGTCTAAGCATATAGTGATATCTGTCACTATATATAGTGATAAAAACTAGAAAACAGAAATTAGCCATCAATTTACTTCACTAATGTATTCTTGAAAACTTGCTTGTTTGGCTGTTTAAACAGCTGACATTTAGGCAGCCTGAATATGATCAATACTCAATGATACTGACTTTCATTTGCAAGGTCTGCTTAAAAGTCTCCCAGTACATATAATTTCTCCTTAAAATCAATACATATATTCATGATGCTTTTCAAATTAGATCTTCATGCAGATCTGACTCATCAGTAGATCCTAGAGCAGCAGCTCTATAGGATCTAGATTCCAACTCAGCAGCATGTGAAAAGAAAAATAATTATATTCTTTCCCTAAAGATTTCATACTAAATGTAAGTCACTAAAAACAAGTTGAGAACTTTATCAAGGTTAATAAGAATAAAAAATATGTATGTATGACTAAAAGACAAAATGACTATTAAATATTATTTTCCCATAGTTGCACAATGAATTGATGATGATTATGGTTCAGTATCCAAGCTCTAGTTTTCCCATTCTTCATTCATTATTCCACAACCATGCTGAGAAACAGGCAATTTCCATGCAGAGTCACAGACACCGGGACAGATATAAAACAGGGCACTATTGGAACACACACAAGGGCCATCTGTCCAAGTTTTGTGTCAATACTGTAGACTTTGTGTGGAGATGAATGCAGGTTGATACCTGAAGGACAAGGACAAAGTGTGCCAGGCAGGGCAGATCTGGTTGGTATTAGTCCACAGGGAGTTTGCTACTGAGCTCTGCTAGTCTCTCATTCATGCTGGGAAGATTACAAAACACAAAAGCTTACTATTTCATTTTTTCCTAAATGACTATACTTTTTAAAAAGTTATCTTCAGAAAGTGGAATTTCCCATTAAACAGTGTTGTAATTCTGAATATGTGTCAGAGCATGTCTACTGGATGCAGTTATAGTTTTAAAATTGTTTTGAAGAAGTACATGTATCCCTAGTGGAATTTTGATAACAACAAGTAACTCAAAGTAAGGAGGGGAGAGGAAATGGCTATCGATGACATATGGCTTAACAGGTAATACTTGCTGTCTTTTGGAATAGCACTACTTACAAGATTCTTGAAGATATCATTAGAAATACTTGTACTTAAGGGGAAATGAGATGATGAATACCTTAATTTGTTTGACTATAACAGCCATTTCAATATGTATCAACACATCATGTTGTATTCCTTAAGTACATACAATAAAAGACTAAAACTAAAAAAAAAAAAAAAAAACTAGAAATATTTGTTTTAGTAAGGCAATTTACAGATTTAAGAAAAACATCCCTCAAAGACATTCTCACCACCCTTGTACATTTCACTCATCATGTGGGAAAATCAAGCATTTTGCACTGAGGAATAAGAGTACCAGCTCCAAGGGGACAATGAGATAGTGGAGCTGGTGATCAAACAGAACTAAGGCAGCTCTAAAGGTAGTGCACTCCTAACATTGTTATTAACACATCAGAGGGGGGCCTTTCCTTTGTCATCCATACATCTGATCCTCAGACTGACCAAAGGATTATTTTTAACCACCTTGTGAATTATACTTCCCTTCTTCCCTGTTTTAGCCATTCCCCATTTCACACACATGACTTTAGAGTGGAAAAACTATAAAGTATTGTTGGTTGCAAGGCGCCCCCTACTGATAATTCCAAAGATCACCATGAAGGAAAGTTAATGTACTGAGTGCCAAAAGGTGCCAAGAGCAGCAGCAGGAGGAGGAATACTTGACCCTTTCAGTTTAAGTGGTCATCTTCCAAAAAAATAGTTAAACTCATTAATATTTCTAATGAACGGAATTGTTAAAAGCAATTTTAGAACAGTTATCACTGTCCCAATTATAAAGCTTCAAAAATACTTAGCTGAAAGGCTAATAGACCAGGTTAACTACATGAGAATAATAAGGGGTTTTAAAATCAAAAGAAGGTGAGAGACAAACAGTCCTGGATGAACATTTTAAAAGTAAGTTCATTTAAACTGTATCATTTTCAAAATTATAGTATCTAGTTAGCTTTTACATCCTGCCAATCTCATGAACTTGTCCCACTAAAAATTATGCTTTCAAGTCGAATTAATGAGCTTAATTTATTTTCCATGATTCCATATTTTGACTTATGTTTTTGGTTTACATGCCAAGGATTTTTTAGCTTCTAGTTCTATTTCATAAAGAAGCTTATATTTTTCCAATTCAACATTATTAAATTCTTCTTGAGACATTTTCATTTTGTGGCGTTCAGATTCGAGAACTTTAACTCTTAGTTCCATCTCATTCTTTACTGAAGCCACTTGATTCTCTCTTAATTCTTCTCTCTTTTCTTGTTGTGCTGCTTGTTCCTGAAACAAATTAAAATGGTGTAATATTGATCATTATAACCTGGACAATTATTATAAATTTCTTTACTTTAGAGTTTTGCTTCAGAGAGTATTTTATTCATTTTATTTTTTCTCTTTTTTAGAAACATGGTCTTGCTTTGTCACCGAGGCTGGAAGAGACAGCTCATGGCAGCCTCCAGCTCCTGGGTTCAGGCAGAGTACCGGAGTACCTGGCACTATGCACGTACCACCACACCCAGCTAAGTTTTATTAGTTTTTGTAGAGACAGGGATCTCACTATGTCGCCCAGGCTGGTCTCATACTCCTGGCCTCCAGTGACCCTCCTGCCTCAGCCTTCCTAAGTTCTGGGATTACAGGCATGACTCACCACAACTAGCCTCAGAGAGCCAAAGAAGCTGAAATTTAAAATATGTATCATCAATATCAACTAAGTGGATTATTCTATATAGATTCTAAAAAAATTGAGTAGGAGAGGGAAGTTGGCTGATTAGAGACTTTAGCTGCCAAAGCATCCCACAGAGAAAAAACGTTACAGATAAAAGATAAGGAAAAAACACAACTCAGGTGTATTTCTCAGGGATAGGTGCCAGAGCCTGCCAGAGATTTCACAGGAAGTAGTTGCAGAAAAAAATAGGAAGGAAAAAGATACCCACAGAGATCAACCTAGGTAAGCTTGGAGCCCAGTGAAGAGGGTAGGTGGGGAGGGGGTTTCCTTTCTCCTTCTCTCACACCTATGGTAGTCACGGGGCCTCCAAGCCCCTGGAGAGCTTTTTTACCCTCACGGGCCCAAGGGCTGTTGCCACCACTAGACTGGGAGCTTCCAGAAAATAAAGCATCAGGCTTCTAACCTCTTCTGGGTCGCTCCCCATAGCCACAATCTGGAGCTGAGATGGCAGGTGCCATATCCTGCTTCTCCACACATAATGTTCCTTTGTCCACCCCAGGGAGCTCCAGCTGTCCAGTTTTCATGTTACCTGTTCCTTCATAGTTCCCAATTCCTGCCCAGACTGCAGTGAGTCCTGGAGAATTTGTATGATCCTAGAGCTTGGAAATTCCCTGTGGGCTTCCTTCCAGGGAGACAGACATGGTCGGCTGGAGTACTGGTTCTCATCCATTCAGACTTTTTTCCTCCCCCTTCCTTCACCAACTGTAGCCCAAACTCTCAAAAGCAGCTATCTCCCCTCTGTTGGTGTACCCATGACACTGAGGTTTCCACAGACACTGGGGCCCACACCTTTCCCCTTGAGGGCCTTCAGTGGACCCTTCAGGGGTGCCCATTCTGGGAGTTCCCTGCCCACTTGTACTCTGCAGTGAAGGGCAGACCCTGAGGCAGAGAGGCACTAAGCCTGCTCAAGCACTCCATGGTTAACTCGGGACCAGCATGCTTCTCTCTGGCATGGTCACCGAATGAACTTGGAGCTCTAACGGAAAGGCACGCAGGCCAGATCCCATGCCCCGAGGACTAGTTCAGGTTGTTTGGAGGCACAGAGCGGAGATCTGAGAACTAACTTCAGGATGCAAGGGAGTCCACGTGGGCAGAACTGACAGCAGAGTGCAGTGTGGGTCAGAGCTGCAGTGAACTGGTGGAGCACCCCTAGTCCTACAGGAAGGCCATACTTTCAGACTGGTAGGACCTCAGGCAGTAAAGTTCCCAATTTGCAACCATACACTGGAAGGAGACTGCCAGGACAGGGGAGGAGGGAGAAGAGTGAAACCCACTACCACAGCCAGTCTGTGGTTCCCAGATGGCCCCTCCCATATGAGTAGACTTTCTAGTTTGATAACTTTGCTTCAGCCCCTTCCCAGTGGCTTTACCCAGTGTCCTTGGAACTGACCTTTGCCACCTGCCTCTGCTGAGCCTGAGGCAGGCTCTCCAACCCAGCCCTGCCCAGCTTTACTCCTTCACCCACTGCTGCCTTGGTGGTGAAGAAGGAATCCCCTGAGAGCCCCAGTCCCCTCCCACTGCCTGGGGCATTTGAGAACTTCTCTGGAGAGACTTGAGCGAGCCACAGGTTCCAGAGAACAACTCTGAAGCTTGCTCTTTCCTACAAACATGACTTACTGCCAGGGAAAACAATTTGTACAGCCCATGACAGCATCTATTGACTCAATCAAGTAAGGCCTGGTGGACTTTTATTCACAAGCAGCACCTACTGTCTCAGAAATTAACCTGGGTGTCCCAGTATAATTCACACTGCTGGGTAGGGGAAGAGGGAGAATAGAAGCAACCTGTGGGGGGCACTGCTTTTAAGCAGACGAGTGAGTAAAAACTGTGAGGGGTCTCCCTCCACTACCGCAGACCATGTGGAGTGATCAGGGAGCTGCAGCAGAGTCTGTGCAGAGACATTGCCCTGGAGAACAGGCACAGCAGAGATGTGGTAGCTGCTGATCCTGGGTTTCTGTAGCTGACACCATCCTGAATGCTCAAGTGCGTGGCACCAAATCTGCTAGGAACTCAGCTTTCCAGCAGTAGTCTTCCCATCACCCCCGCTGGGCCAGGGAGGGAGCATACAGAACAGACGCTTCCCTGTACTGTGCCCATGACTGGGAGCCAAGTGCCCCCCACCACCCAGCCTGACTTCTGAGCAGAGTAGGAGCCTCAGATGCTATAGGAGCCACCTGGAAAGCCTTGGACAACTGCCTTGGTGAGATCTAGGTAGAAGGGGAGAACCTTGGCCAGCCAGCATCCTCAGTCAACCTCTGGTCCTTGGGCTGAGACAAACTCCTTCCTGAGTGACTAGGCATCAGCAGTTTCCATGCCAATAGAACAGTCTCCCCCCCCCCATTTGTGCACCTCTACTCCTGTGATCCCCAGATCCAGCTCAAAGGCTCTTGCTGTATCTGGGCCTGAGGCTTGGCTCCAGGACCCTGGCCAGTCCTTTGACACCACCTCTGAGATTACAGAGTTGTGTCTGGGCCCCAAGAACCAACCCGTAAGTCTTTACCACTGCCACTGAGCTGGCAGAACCTCCCCAAGGTCCAACACTTCATGAGGGATCCCACATCCTTGAGCACCCATCACTCCTGGACTGGGTTGAAGCAAATGCCCAGAGCCCATTCTTCCAGGACACTGCCTAGAGAACCTCACCCAGCTGCCAGTGTCACCTCTGCTGGGTGACCCTCAGTAGAGCAATACTCTACAACAACAGCCTCCATGGAGAAAGTCACATAAAGCCCCGAACTCAAACTTCCATCAATAAGCTGGGGAATAATTCACCACCCCACATGAAGATCATCCAGCACCAACCTGAGCTGAAGCCATCACAGGGGAATGGGTCAAAACAGAACAGCTGTTGTACAGGCTCTCAGTATACCCACCCCTGCCTGATGGGTCAACATTCAAGACTCGGACACAAAAACTCCATCTAGGGTCCACCCCCTCTCCTAAGTAAACAGCAGAGTTCTCAACAAAGGAGAACAGGTACCCTGTGAACCCATTAGCCCAGAGCTGAGTGAAGAGGAGTCAGATGAGAAGAAATCACCAACAGAACCCTGGCAAGAGGAGAAAACAAAAGAGTTCGACACTGCCAGAGGATCACAATGGAGCTTACAACACTGGACTCCAACCATAGGTAATTTGCCAATATGAGAGAAAATGGATTTCTGAATGTGGATGGCAAATAAGGTGAATAGAATTGAAGAGAAAGTTGACAACCAACAAAAATAAGCCAAGAAATATGTCAAGAAATCAATGAAAAAGTCACTAAGGAGACAACACAAGAAAGAATGTAACAGAACATAAAGAAGTAAAAGAGTCATTTAGGAAATTTTATAAAACAGCAGAAAGCTGCAAAAACAGAGTAAAACAAGGTGAAGAAAGAATCTCAGAGCTTGAGTCAAGGCTCTAGAACTAATCCAGTCATTCAAAGAGGCAGAGAAGAGAATAAAAAGACTAAGAAATCACTGAGGTGGATATGAGACTAGGTGAAGTGAACTAACATATGAATTATAGATATTCCTGAGGTAGAAGAAGAAAGAGCTAAAAGCATGAAAATCTATTTAAAAAACGTATTGAAGAAAACTTCCCTAGTATTGCCAGAGATTCAGACATCTATATATATGACAGTTGTTAAACACCAGGAAAATTCATAGCAAACAGGACATCTCTAAGACATGTAGTAATCAACCCATGCAAAGTCAAAATGAAGGAGAAAATTCTGCAAACAAGAAGACGAAAGCCAACAACTAATCTACAAAAGGTAACCAATCCATCAGGCTAACTGCAGACTTCTCAGTGGAGATTTTATAAGTCAGAAGGGACTGGGGCCCCATCTTCAATCTTTTGGAATAGAACAATTGCCAGACTAGCATTTTGAATCCTACAAAACTAAGTTTCACAATGAATGGAGAAATTAAGTCTTTTCCAGACAGGCAAACACTGAAGGAATTTGTCATGGCCAGACTTGTCCTGCAGTAAATACTCAGAATTGCATTGTATATGAATCAGCACAATAGATACTCACCAGTGTAAAACCACCCAAGAAAACTTAAAACTCACAGCTCTTATAAAACAACAGCACATGAGGGAAAACTAAACCATAACGTACTACCCAAAATGGCAAATCCATCAACAACCCAAATATCAATTCTATCACTCAACATTAAGAGTCTGAACGCTCTACTCAAAAGATATAGCCTGTCAAAATGGGTGACAAAACACAACCCAAATATCTGCCATCTCCAGGAACCATATCTAAACCACAGGGACACATACAGACTCCACATGAAAGGATAGAAAAAAAGATATTCCACATGAATGGAAACAAGAAGATAGCAGGTGTAGACATTTCATATTAGTTAAAGTGGACTTTAAATCAAAGGTATAGAAAGACACAGAGGATCTTTATATAATAGTAGAGAGAGCAATTTAACAAGAAGATATAATAATCCTAAATATAAATGTCCCAACACAGGAGCTCCCAGAGACATAAAGCCAATTCCAGTAGAGCTAAGCAAAGAAACAAATAGCAGTATCATAGTTGCCATGGACTTCAACACCC